TTGCTGGTGTTAATAAATGTTAATAAAATAATGAAAGTTTTCTACTCAAATATGTTAGAAATTGGAAAGATTTTTTAAATGTCGGTTTTTTAATGAATATACACCCAAATTAAATATTGATTTTTTGGATTTTACAGATTCATTCAGGAGAAAAACAAAAAACAGCGAAAAAGCTCACTTCAATGCGCACTAAAAAAACTGGGCAACCAGAATCCGACAACATTTTTGACAAAATATTGTAAATTTAACATACCGGACTAGTCAACTATTCAACCGGCTTCAAAATCCTAAAAAAAAATCAGAACTTATTTCGAATCCGTAAAAATTGGCAACACACTTAATTACAAAACTACAACGCTCTCCGATAACTTCTGAAGATTTTTCAATTTTCTTTTGGGCAATTTGGAAAAACATCTAGTTCTCAATTGTTGCATAGTTTACTAATAGTGTGTTGTGCAAGTTGCTATTATTTCAATGTGTCGATGGAATTGTTGAATTAAGAATTGTATTATAATTACTTTTTATAAAACTTCTGGGTTACTCTGCGTCGGTTTTTGGTGAGTCGAACTAGCTAACGTTTCGCCAATCATCCCCTTTGGCTTCTTCAGAGTTGTACCTGCTTTTACCTGATTCCCATATTGGTGGAGACCTGCAAGAATTTTAGTTTTAAATAAAATTTTATATCCGGTTTCGTGATTGTGTTCGGCAACTGCTGAAGAGTTTAGTTGATATTTTTCGTCCGGTCTCTCCAATGTATTCTTTGCCGCATATGCATGGAATGCTGTAAACTCCTGGCATCTCAAATGGAATGTTGTCTTTGACGGATCGAAGATGTTGAGAGATTTTTTGGACAAATGGTAAATCTGGTTTTGACATTATATTTCTTTAGAACATTTTTGATATGTGGTCAGTGATGTTTTGAATATAAGGAAGGACAACATTGCTATTGGAAGGTTGTGGTGAATTTTATTTTGTGATGGAACGCTTAATATCGTACATGTGGAAATTATTAGACAGAAGAGCAGTGGCAAGGTGTTTTAATTCTGGGCTCAATGACTCAGGCAGAGAAAATTTTATGGCTCTGTAAACAAGGGAGTGGATGACCGATGATTTTTGGGCCGGATGGTGATGTAACAATGCATTAAGGTATCGGTCTGTGTGCGTAGGTTTTCTGTAAACACAATGACCCAATGTTAGGTCTGATTTTCTATTGATAAGAATATCTAAGAATTCGAGGTTAAAACGTATGTTGGGGTGTATAGAGTTTAAATGTCTAAGAAAATCTACTAGGGATTCCTGACCATGATGCCAAATAACAAAAGTATCATCGACGTAGCCTTTCCATAATTCTAGTGTTAGATGGAAGGTGTCGAGAGCTTTCTTCCCAAATGTTTCCATAAATATATTCGCGATCACTGGTGATAGTGGAGAACCCATAGCTATTTCCCGACGTTTGTTCAAAAATTTCTAAAAGAGAGTAAAGAGAGATCCTACGTCGAAACTAACCAGAATATCTGGTGTATCTGGTGTAATGCTTTTTATTTGTTCAATGAAGTGAAAGGAATTAAGTACGAAACTGACAGAGAATATGTTGGAGAACCAATAGTGCTGACAATAGGTCGAAGGGGTAAGTCCGTCGAGACGAGGAATTTTAGAATCATGAGAGGTGGCAGATTTTTTCACGGAGTCTCATAGAGAAGAAGCCTTAATGACAGATTTAAGGTTGCGCTGCATAGATGACGAAGGATCTTTTTTAAGTTTACGATATGATCCGTCTGTAAGATTATCTTGAATATTTTTCTTTTGTGTCCATTTGTGTCCATGACCACCAAGCATTTCATTTCTCTGCTTTTAGAATTACGATGTCGGGATTAGATTTTAGATATTTTAGGGCAATTGCAGTCTTTGCAATGTGAGATTTCTTTTTTTAATAGAATTTCATTAGCTGTTTGAGATGGTTGTTTGTTTAGGATAGGCTCGACATTTGAAATGATTTCCTCTTTTGGGATAATCCGTGGGGTAACGACGAAGTTGGAACCTTTTAAAAGAACTAATTTCTCAGTGTTTGGTAGTTGCGAAGAGTTTGATGGTTTCCCTAGTGTTGACGTTAGTTTTTCAAATTTCTGAATGTGATTCTGGGTAGAAGATCGACTTGTGTATTGTAATTGTTTTTATAATCGCAAGTAACATTTTGTCGCTGTAAGATATTTATATTTAACATTTTAAGTTTTGCAATTTGCTATATATCTATGAATAAAACACTTTTGTTGCCATTTTTTTGTGTAATTTATATTTATTCAAATATAAGATAAAAGGTACAGATAGATCAAACATTGGACTGACTGTTTTTTAACAATTTTCCTATGTCATTTCCTTAATGGATGCTTAAAATACTGACGACCCTTGGTGGTGTTAATTTTTCACAAAAACTGGCACAGGTCACTGTCCAACTGTTGTTATCCTATTAGCTTCTTCGGAGATTACCTCAAACTGAATATTATTGATTTGGTCTATTTTTTACGGGTACGATGAAGTATTTCTCGCAGTAAAGCGAGGCTAGATTTAGGAAGAATTTTATAAGCAGATTAGCAAATGGGCATTTTCAATACACACATATTTTCCTTCTTCCGGGGAATGTTTTCTAACTGCAACTCGCTACCGCGGTCAAAGCTTGGCACCAAATGCCGCCTTTCGAAGGCGTTGTTAGAAAATACGGCACGCCACTGACTGCCAATCGAGAGACTGATATTCGCCGTATTTTGCCACTACGAAGGAGGGTTGGAACTTTCCCAAAGTCATCGAAGGGAATGGGTTGGTTACAGCAAATTATCGGCCCGCCTGTAGAGTAACGCCGAAATTACAAATTTTCGGGATTTATAACGCTCTGGCGATTTGTCCTCGTTTTTGGTAGTCCCGGTCGCGAATTGGTTTTTGTTTGTAGACGAGGATCGAACCAATTTAAACCAACCAAATCGGATTCCAGTTTATCGTTTGTTTGAAGCATGTAAAAGTTGTTGAGTTGTTAGTGCGGAAAGATCTGATTAGCTACGGGTACTCAAAACATCTCGTCATATGAATCAGGGAACAACACTGGTACAAGAGGAAGTTCTAGGAAGCAGTTTTTATCCACAGAGACAAAGAGGCCTTTAACAATCCACCAGCTATAGTAAACAGGCTACGGATACCACCAGTAGCAAGATTGCTTTCGAAAAATCGTCGCTGGGCGCTGCAAATTCGTCGCAAATAGTGCGAATCAGCTTCGCGGATGTAATTCGATTGTGAATACACCCTGTATAAAGTGTCCTTTACATCTCGTCGAACTTTAAAGTTACGGCAAAATTTTTACTTTTAATTGCAATTTCAAATGATATTTTTTCAAATATCTCGCGTCCCCTGTATTATAGACGAAGCCTTAAACTCTCTCTCGACACAGTTTACGATACTGTTTATATCAAATTGTCACATCTTTAAAAGTTTTTCATTTATCGCCAATAATTCACCCACAAAAGCGGAAATTTCTTGGATCTATTGGAATTTTTGGCCCACAAACGACGTACCCTATATATAATTCCAACAGTGCTCGATATGAGGCTATAGCCCTGGATGTTCTCAGTTTCCTGGTATCCGAATTTTTCCAATGGAGTAAATAGGTTTTCAGACACTACTTATTTTCTGAAACCATGCAGTAGGTGGTAATAGTAAATGACGTCATCGCGTCTAGTACCCTTTGATACAGCCTATAATACTGTTTAAACGGATTAGCTAGTTTTTGTACGAGTTTTGATTTAGGGTTAATAATTTACTCTCTAAAAGAAAAATTTTCAGGGTACTTTAGATTTTTGTCGATAACTAAAACACCTTGTATATAATGGAAAAAATGCGTAAAACAAAAGTTATAGCGCCGGGTCTCCCACGTATTACGGTTGTAAAATTTTTCCGATCGGATGAATGGTTTCGGATTAAAAGATGTTTTTATATATGGCAAAATAACCAAAAAAAAATCAAAAATAAAAAAAAAATACTTTGCGTTATTTTATTAAGCTCAATTTAAAGAGTCTAAATGCACAGGCGATTTTTAATTTTTTTTAGAATACTTGCCGACCCTCCAGCCCCCCCCCACCCCATTTTCAATAAGTTCCGTCACGAGACAAAACTACATATACCTGCCAAATATGAAGTCGATTGCTTCAAATTACTTATCATGTTTCATAGCAAAGTCCAAAAAACATTCAAAAATCACGAAAAAAGATTAATACCGGTGTCGGATCAGTGCCATTTCTTATAAGCTTATCTGCCTCGTGGAGGGTTAAAAAGGATGCAAATTTTAATTTTGTAGCTCCAACGGTTCGAAAGTTATTCAGGAAAAAGCAAAAGACGAAGACGGAGAACGGACAAACAGACAAACAAATATTTTTTTTTCGACGGTGATCATTTCTGTGGCAACGGCCATCCCATAGGACCCACCGTTATGAAAAATTATTACTGATTAATTTTTGTTGTTGAAATTTATGGCCGCAACTTGTATGTTTCCTCAAGATTTTGTATCAAAAGTTTCATGACTAAACTAAACCCTTAAAGATAGACAACCCAATGCAAGACGAAAAATAATAAAGAAAATGATTGAAGAAAACACTTCAGAATAAAGAGTCCTCCCACCTTACTTACAAGCAGATAAAACTTGCGTTTTGATATCAGCTCAAGTAAACAGCCATAAACGTGGTGGAAAGTGGCTTGTTTCAAAAGAAATGTTCTCAAAGTTGATATGGCCCTACGGATGACAGAAAGTTTCAAAACAGAAAAGAAAAGATCAGAAGAGTCGAGAACTAGTTCTAGAATTAAAAACTTGTTTTGCGGACAATTCGAATAAAAGTATATTAGGGTACCCCACAAGGCAAAAATCCATTGGGTTTTAATCCGGATCGTGCAGGTCATAAGTAAGGTCCAGCAACTTCCATATCTTAGTGTCAAAAATTTCAAACAAACGAACTTATATTTCCTTCTCTTTATTGAAAAATATACATCTACATTATAATTAGAATTATGATGCCACTGTACAAAAATGCCAAAGTGCGCAAGAACGCTTGTCCCCAAGCTGGCGCCTATTTCCCTTTCACGGGGAACTTAGGGTCGAGCTCGTCGTCAATGAGCACGAAAAATTGACCCTCGGCTTCTGTGGCATTACCATGCTCTCCCACGATCACCACTGGGTTCTTATTGCAGAGACCTATAAACGCCAATAGCGAACTGCTGCAAGCTCTTGCCAGGTACTGGTCGGAAGTGATGGTCCTGGTGTAAAACTCGTAGGCCTTTCCGTGGCTGCAAATAACTGCAACAAACGAGGCTTGAATTGACCCAGCAGGAACTAAGCACGAACCAGCTGGAATGGGTAGGAATAGGACTGGATTTTCAGTGATTGAAATGCAAAGTGTGAGAAGTTGATGGTTTGGTGAGTTACTTACAAGCGCCGATCAAGTCTATCCCTTCCAAACAACCCGGTTGGATGGGACCACCGAAAGACACGTAGTAATCGACGGTAGCGAATGGGCTCAAGAACCCGAGGAACCCCGCGTTGGTGTGGATACCTTCGACGTACTGGGCGTCGTCGGAAGTCAGTCTGTACACGCTCGGTATGGCCACGGGAATCTCGAATAGGGGCGCCGCCGCGTCGAGACCGCTGATTTTGGATATCTGGGTGCCGTTGGAGTAGCCCACGAGGTTCCTCCCGACGAAGCCCGCCACGTGAGCTCCCAAGGAATGCCCGATGACGTGCAAGTTATTGAAATAGTCAGTTTGAGCGGCGAAAATCTTTCCCCAAATTACCTCGGCGACGTGTTCGCCTACCTTCTTCGTGGCAGCAGCGGCCGATAGATAATTCTGTGCCGCCAGGCTCGACCAGTCGACAGCCAAAACGTTGGCGACCCCTATTTGCTGAAACGAGGTCGCCATGTCTCGTATCCACGAACTGTTACCTGCGAGAGGTATCCTATTCAATAAAACTTCTCGAGGAAGAAAACAATCTTTCCAGTGGAGTTTTACTTTACCTTGGGATCTCCAGCCGTGTATGATCACCTTAAGCTCCCCCGACAAGTCGGTGGGAATTTGATCGGAGTCAAGCGAGTAGTTCTTGTAAGAGCCGTCCTTTTCGTACCACAAGAGGTGGACGTATTTGGAGCAATCGTCATTAATGAAATCGAACGCTTTCGCAACCTTGTAGACGCTCTTGACGGTGACGTTCAGTAATTCCGAGAGGAAGCTTTCGGGGGTGGGCAGAGGGGGTAGGTTCTCACTTCTTACTTCTGTGAGGATTTCAGCGTTGGTTCGATCAACTGACGCGAGAAAATGTTTAGTTCCCAATTGCTTGAGTGATAACATTCCAGCTTACCAGGTTTAATCGATATCAAGACGACGGCGGCGATCAGGAGACGGGGCGCCATTTTGCTCGTTTAACCCCGGCGCCGATTGGCGATTGGGTATTTATACCAGCAAAATAAAAAAGGTTACTTTTTAATGCAAATGATAAACCGCTGGAAAGTAACATCGCTATATGCGGATTTTTTTTTTAAAGCTCGCGATTACAAACGGAAAATTTGTTTCAGCTACCGGGTGAAATTAACACATACTGAAAAGGGTTTCTAGTACGTTCGATGTTACTAATCAATTAGGATTTGTTTTGCGTGATCAACCTTGGGATGATCTATTGCTGAAGTATTCATTCCACCATCAGACTCAAACAAAAGTAGAAGGGAAGGAGGAAACTAGTTCTGGTCCTCAAGTATGAGAGTTTCGGCCCTCAGTTTTGAGTACCTGCCGTTTCCTCGTCTTCCAAGAACAACCAGCATTGATGATGCATCTGCTCCTTTCCTCCCTAGGAGTTTGACTTTTCTTTGCCAATATTACCTTCTTATGGTACCATAAGAGGGATGGATTTTTTGAACAAGCAGCATGCAGTAGATCTCCAGCGCATACACTTCAGCTTGGAATATGGTGTGCCATATACTAAGACCGAATGACAATTGAGTTGCATTCTGGCCCCCATAGTGATAGTTGCTATCCTGTTATAAAGAAATATTGCTGCCCCTTGCAGAAAAAAATTTTTTTTAAAAAGAAAAAAGAAAAGCTATTTAAATAATAGAGTTAAATGTATTTTTTCTCTTTAAAGTGTCTACAGGCTAATAACCATGCTAGGTGGGAATTAGGTAGATTACACATCATCCGAATATGTCGTCGAAAAGGTTCTTGGATTTGGGTTCGCCCGGTTCGTTGTCCTTGTCGACTAATAAAAAGTATTGCCCGTCGGACTCCGTGGAATTATTGTTTTCGCCCATGATCACCAACGGGTTCCTGTTGCACAGGTTGGCGAAAGCCAGTAGCGGACTGTCGCAGTACCTCGCCAGGTACTTATCCGAAGTGATGGTCTTGTTGAATATCTCGTGGGACCTGGAGTGACTGCACAGGACTGTAAGGGTAACAGAAAACGTCAACAAATGGAAAATAATATGTAAACGTTATACAAAAAAAAAAACAGTCTTCTTTGTATGACCATAGACCACTAAACAAAACACAATTGAAAGAAAGGCAGAGTTTGTGGATGGAATTGGGATCTTTCCAAGTAAACACGGTTGCTGGCTTTTTTTTTTTTCATTTTACACCCTTAATTAACTAAATAATAATTGTTTAGAAGAAATAAACTTGCGTATTCTACTGGCCTCGTCGGATCTCTGCTTGTTGAACTTCGAACAGCTGTTAACTCGACTATTTGACGTTAGATGGCGCAACTAGTCTCATGAAAGTGTAATACCCTACGGATTTATGAGATCAATGGGTTTTGCAATTAGCTATTAATTACATCTTGGGCTTTTTACTATTTTAATATATTGTTTATTTCTTGATAGTAGTGGACAATTTTTGCTAAATGTCTTGTGATTAGTGAATGGTCTGCAAAGTCGGTGGTTTTTCCGGCTGTGAAGCTAGACGTTGAATCAATAATGCATGCATCGTCAAATTGATTGGGTAAAAAAGCTTTATTACGCTTATCTGTGAAGAACAAATATGTTAAACGCTACAGTAACGAGATAAAACTTAATAAGCTGCGGGCGAAATTTCTAAATACACCAAATATAAGGACTTTGAATGAATACCAGAAAGATTTTCCTACCACTCGAGGATTAAATTGGACTGTATTAAATCAATTGAAAAACGCACTCGTGAGGAACGTCTTGTTAGCGTTTTATTCGACGAAATAAGTTTAGCTAGCGAAGTTCACTATGACATGTTCCACGGTTATGCTGATGATGGAGAAGACCGTACAAATGAAATAGCCCATTGTGCATTAGTTTGCAATGATAACTTGGATTAATAAACCAATGAAGCAAACGATTGGATATTGGTTGGTTCATCAGACGTGATCTCAAAAGGACTCATACTGTAACATCAAAAATAATAATCAACAGGAAATTGTCTAAATTCGCAAAACCAACTACTGAAAAAATACCAACGAAAAAAAGCAGAACAAAGTGGCAACCAAAGAGGAGAAATAGAGGACGAAGTACCATTAAAAAAAATCAAACCAAAGTGAGTACCAATAAAAAACAAATTAATGAAACAAATGAGTAAAATATATATATTTTAGTTATCTGCTGTAGTCATGTAAGCAAAAATATTTTTATATATATTATTTAATTATTAAACTCTTATATACGTTAAAGCATATATTCATATCTACATTTCATAATTAAAATATATTTTTTCATATTACTAAGTGCATTGGTAGATTTTTAGCTGTTTCAGCACTGATTAGTAAAGGAATACGTTTTTTGAACAATTTTATTATTATAACTAATAGGTGTCTTTTAAGAAAACTTTTATTATTATGAGATAACTTTATTTACACCACGTTTTATATTATCTTTTATTATTATGTTATGTTAAAATGAATTTTATAGTATTTACTAAAAAAACGCGTGAGTTTAGCTGATTTTTACAATATAATTATTGTTATTAACTTCATTAATTTAAGATTATCATAAATCATTTTTTTATTACAAAGTATTTCCAGATGTTTATTAATTTAATAAATTTCAATAATTTTCAACTATTTCGACATTTTTTTTTCACATTTTACCTTTTAAAATTTAAACTGAATTGAACCGTACGTCCCGCGCGTTTTCCGTTTTCATGACTGGACACAATCGCTAGAGGCGTGCGCTTTTTAACATTGCCACCAATGGGAGCCCTCCCCTGCAACTTAAACTCTTCGGTTATAACCAAGAAATACGTGCTACACTTCCACGCCCACTACCGGTGGCTTTCTGAGGCTGGCGTCTAAGTTTTCTGGATTAGATAATAGATGGCGCTATTCACAGCGTGCTTTATATGTCGCGTTTATGGAATGTAATTTAATAACAGTGGAGCGTGCAAAAACGTGGCCCGTAATTGGTCAATTAACAAAATGTTATAAACATAGAGGTATTTTTGAGCAAAATCACAAAAACGAATGCGGTCCCAATTAATTTATGTTAAACAAAATCCATTAATTTAACAGTTGCGTTTCCGTATCCAGACAACCTAAAAATGTTCACGCGGTAAGCCACCCAATTAATAGATCCTGATTATGATGAAATATTGGCCGAAAATAACAAATGAAAAGTGCTTTTGATGGAAATATATTTTTTAATTTCCAACAGCTCCAGCAAGGCTATCGTACGTGCGTATAAATATTGCCATAAAAATGACAGAAAATAAAAAAAATAGCAGCCACTTCTTTTTGTTTGTTTGGTCTCAACAGTCATTCTTCGAAGTTGCAGATCGTGTTTTTGAAAAAGGCAACTCAACTAGACGGTTTGGTGCAAACCCGCCTTTGGCTGACGAAAATCACTCACAAGCGTTAAAAATGTCGATCCCGTCCAAACAGCCGGGTTGCACGGGCCCCCCGAACGAGACGTAGTAGTCGTGGTTTGCGAAGGCGCTGAGAAAACCGAGGAATCCCGCATTCGTGTGGACGCTCTCCACAAATCGAGCATCCTCGGCACTTATCCTGTCCGTACTTGGCAAGTTTAAGGGATATTCGAAGAGAGGGGCAGCGGCGTCCAAAGCTGAAAAAAGAGGGTCGCTGGTGAAAAATTTAGGCAATGGGACGTCATTTCCCCGCATCGCAAAATCGATAACTCTCGCCCCCCTTAAAATTCCGGTGCTTATTAAAAAATCTGCTCTCCCTTCCCATCGCTTAATGAAGACAAACGGGGGGTTGTTTGTCTGGAAAGCCTGGAAAGGGAGGAGCGTCCGTCGGTCCCGTCTCTGACGCATCGCGGGTTGAATTTTTGGGTGAAATTATTAAGTTTCTAAGTGTATTGCTCCATGAAGTTGAAATAAAAGCTTTTTCTATTTTCTTTTATCTTAGCTAGACATTTTTCGAAACTGTCGTCAATATCACAGTAAATTTTAAATCATGTGCGCATTCTGTCAAATTTGGCGTTAGAGCTGATTGATTTAAATAGCTTTTGAAAAATTTATTTGCTCAAACAACTACATTTTCTTTTTTTCATCTTCTTCTTATGGTAGGACAGCGTCCTGTGTTTTCATCAAGAGTTTGCCAGGAGTATTGGCGATGTTGAGGACCAGTTTTCATACCATCTAATAGGAGGCCGGATTGTGTCTGATATCTTTTCCTTTGCAATTTTTGCTCATCGTTTATTTGTCATCCTGTCAACATGGTCTCTTCCTTCTCTTCTGCGACTCCTTACCCTTATTACATCTTCTTCTTCTTGTAGGTTGCTGATCATCACGAATACCTTCATTTTTGATAATGCTGATCTAAATAATTCAATTGACTATAGATCCAAGATTGTGCAACCAAGAGATTCTTCTGCTCCCTACACTTCGTCTACCTACAATTTTGCCCTCCATAATGAGTTTCAGCAGCTCATATCTTGTACCGCGTGATATATGTCCCAGGAACTCAAGTTGCGTTTTTTAATGGTAAAGGATATTTCGAGTTCTTTACCCATTCTTCCTAACGCTTCCTAGTTTGTAGTTCTACTCATCCAAGAAACTCTCAGCATGCGTCTATAAGTCCACATTTAAAAAGTTTCCAACCTCCTTGTGGTTTCTTTATTCAGCGTCCAGCCTTCCAAGCAATAAAGCAACACTTCATTAATTATGGTGCCAAGATAGTTATAGTGTCTTACTTGTTCAATTGTTTTCCCGTCTACGATAAGCTGACCTGCTGCTACTTTTTTGTTATCACCATCATTTTAATCTTGAGACCGAAATCTTTGATAGCTTTCACTACGCACACAAAACAGTGTCGTCAACGTACCTAATATTATAATGGATTTTCCTATTTATTACTATCCCAGCGGATTCGTCTTCCAATGCTTCTCTAAAAATATTCTCCGAGTATATGTTGAATAGTATTGGAGATAAGATACACCCCTGTCTTCGGTATGCTGACCTCTTCGGAGAGAGCGTTATCTATTCTGACCTTAGCGGCTTGACCCCAATACAGCTTTGATATAATCTGCATGTCGTGATAATCGATGTTCAGTTTTTGTAGGATTTCTATTAGTTTTTCATGCCTGACATTATCAAATGCTTTACTATAATCGACCAAGCACACATAAAGATCCTGATTGACGTCTAGGCATCTCTGGGCAAGAAGGCGAAAATGGCTTCCCGAGTTCCAAGCCCATTGCGGAATCTAAATTGCGTGTCAGAGGTTTCAGTCTCGCATATGTTGTGTATTCTAGCGTGCACGATTCTTAGGAGTATTTTCAGAATATGGCTCATTAGACTTATGAGTCGGTGGTCGCCACGTTTAGATGGTCCAGATTTTTGTGGGATTGGGACAAAAGTAGACAGAAGCCAATCATGGGGAATATTACCAGTCTTGTATACGTCGCTCAACAGATCTAAGAGTACCTGCATCGAATGTTCGTCAAGCAATTTCAAAAGCTCACAATGCACATCGTCTAGCTTATAGGGTGGCCAATTTCATCTCATGTTATTAGAAGTGGGTTCGCGGTTGTTGTTAGCTCGTAGTCAGTTGCTCGTTAGTAATTGAAAAGCTGCTTTATATAAGTTCTCCAAATCTCCAGTTTACTCTCCATGTCCAAACTTATTGAATTTTATTCGTTTCTTAAAACACCTGATTCTCTTTTCGATCCAATACCAACTATTTCCTTCATCTTTTGGGCATGTTAAAGCTATCGTATTTGCGTTTCAGGTCCTTTATTTCTCAGCACCCTTCCTTCATCGAGTTGTCCTTCGCTTCGCGGATTTTATTACCTACAGTTTTTTTAATGGACTTGTATTCTGCTTCATTATTGTTTTTATGTTTTCTTCTCTCTTCCATTAGTGATACAATTTCTTACACTTCTGTTTTGGCATCCTCCTGTCCTTAATTTTTTCCAATTTTGCGTTCTGATCCCAGGTAGTAAATCCTTCTTCATGTAACCTATGGAATTTTTCATTTAAAAAGTTGGTAGTAGCGTTTCTTATAATTGGCTCTTTTAAACTTTGAATATGTAGATGTTCTGTTTTGCTATTTTGTTTGACTCTTTTTAGTTTTTAGTTTTATGTTCATGTCCATAACTTTTATTTTTTATTCACCAAAATGTGGTCTATCTGGTTTCTAATTAAATGGTCTTTGTTATCTCCGGATGCTTTCCAGGTGTACAGCCTCCTTTCTCTCTACAGCTCATTTCTCTCTCCTAAACCGCATGCACCAACATAGTCTTCATATCTGCTAAAAAAAGTTTTTCCTCTATTATAAACGAAGAGGAAGATTATGCAGTGTTCAAAATTTGCACATCTTTTAGATTATTGTATCTTTTTTACTAAATAATGAGTTAATGCACCTGAAATCTTGTTAATCACTTCTCCCCCGGCCAAATTGCTGACGTGTTTCCCCAAGAATCCCGCAGTCTGCGCCCCCAGCGAGTGACCGATGACGTGGACGTTATTCAACTGAGACGTCTGGTTTTTCAGAATGCGATGCCAGATCATTTCGGCGACGTGCTGGCCGATTTTTCTCGTCGAAGACGCCGCCGTGACGTAATCTTTGCTGGCCAGACTCGACCATTCCACCGACAAAACTTGCCGCACGCCTATGTGGTGGTAGGCGAGCGCCATTTCCTTGATCCAAGTGCTGTTTCCTTGAAAACGGAAAGGTCGCAGTGCTTTGTTACGAGTTTGTAACGTAAAAATTACAGTAATTAATAGATAAGCGTTTGCCTATCCATTTGCCGTCGGATGCTTTTAGTTAAATGTATCTGGGTGTTAACACGATATTGTAGCACCACTTAAGAGTGGATAATGATATGCTATCGACTACTGTAACGACTCCTAAATGTTACATTTTATCTATTCGGAAGGCAAATGGTAATGGCGAAATAAGTAATAACAGTTTACAGACATTTTCCGACAGTTACTCCTCTACTCCTACCCCTTTAGCCTTATGCAGGGTAGCTCAGACAATTCAGTGAAATCAACAAATGCTCCCGTTTGATTGAGATTTACTCAAATCAAGAGTTTAACAGGTTTCGCCTCCCTTCTACAGCATTACTCACTCAACTAATTCAGTAGCTCTGTTTGGTGGGGAGAACACCCAACAGAAGCGATTGGTAAAAAACCTTCATGTTTCGTCATGGTACTCTTTGGTGTGAAGATCAGCAACAACAGGAAGTTGATACAAATGTTCAAGAGCTTTATTGCTACTAGAACCGGCTATTAGCGTTAAAGGAGAAACCACTAAGAATACCATATTTGGAGGGTATATAGATTTCATACTTCACACATTAAGGGTCTCTAAACAAGTCATGAAATGGACAACAGAAAGGGTTGCTGGAACATTTTTATTTTACCATGGTATTCTATGGCGTGAAGATCAGCAACAACATTCAGTTGATAAACAGGTGCAAGAACATTATCTAAAATCCGAACTAGCTACGGCTTGTAGAAGGACGATCGCTAAGAATGCCATTTCTTGGAAGATTTTTAAATTTCATATATCACCCAGGCAGGATACTACTTTAAGGTACTCCGGATTTAATAAGGCAAGCATGATATCTCAGCAGGGTCTGAGCACTATCATTGAGCCCAATAAATCTTAATATAGAAAGTATAGATCAACTTAGCAACTAAGGAATTCATTAACATGTTTTCGTAGGAAGCACACACAAAACAAAGGGTTGCTGAAACACATTTGATGTCGAAGAACTTTCATTGCGACCAGAAACACATATTAGCAAGAGAAACGAAAGCGCTAAGAATACCAGAATGTATTCTTTGGCGTGAAGTTCTCTAAAAAGATGGAGTCGCTAAACATACTCAAAAACTTTAATTAAGACTCGAACCAGTTACTAGCAGTAGAAGGAAGATCTCTAGGACTATCATTTCCTCACCTCGTCTCACTTCTACACTTTTGCTCTCTCAAGGAATTTTGTATGGAGCATATCCAACAGAACGGGTTAGTGAAACACCTTTGATTTGAAGATCCGACCCGAATCAGCTACTAGCAGTAGAAAGAAGGTCGCTAATAATACAATAGCAAACACCTACCTTCAGCGCGCCAACCATGAATAATGACTTTGAACGGCTCGGATGGATCGATGGGGATATCATTGCTGTCGCAGGAATAGTTGCGGTAGGCACCATCTTGCTGGTACTGCAGGATGCGTATTTTGTCGATCGAATTGGTGTCGATGAAGCCAAAAGTCTTAGCGGCGCTATAGACCCCGCTGACGGTCATGTTCAGCAGTTGGCACATGAAGTTGATGGGCGTCGGCAGGGGAGGCAGGTTGTTGAGGGAATTGGAGAACTTCGGGACCACGCTGGTTGGCGGAAACCCGCCGCACTGAGCTATAATTTAAATAATTAAATTAAATAACAAATTTAAATATTTGTTAAATGAGCCTTGAAAATTATGAAAATCCTGCGAACCACAACCAAAATTAAAATTATCGAAAGAGATGCTACGTCACCAAAGGAAAAGAAACTTCAATAAATGGGGATAAAAAGACTTCCTCGTTTTATTTTAAATAAAAAAAGAAAAACTTATCTTGGATGGAGTGTGTAGGTTTTAGAAACTGAAAACGGCATTTTCAAAAATCATCATCTTAATTTTGCGATATTACCTTTAATTTGGTAACACCGTTTAATAACATAACATATAAAATATCTAGCATAAAATGCATTAAGAAACAGAGTGATACTGTATATGAATTATGACGAAACTCCAAAAACCTGTGCATCACCAACCTTTGGGAAACTTTATTCACAATAGATGTCAAACATCACAAAATAAACAAGAGGCTGCCGAGGCTTTTTCCCAACGGCTAGTAAGTCCACATATTATTTGGGTATACAACAGAGGTAAGAAAATGCTGCTCTAAAAATCATCATCATCAAACCTGGTTTGACAATCATGACACTCAATCCACAGCATGGTCGGATTCTTTTTAACGGAGTAACAATTTTACATGCCAGATTAAAAAACCCTTTTTTTTTCAAAGTGCTTTGCAGCTTAGCTGTAAAAACATTAAGGTCTCATTCAACCCATAACCTTTTTGAGCAATGGTTCACGGTTCTCTTCTATCTATCATTCATCAGAATAGTGTTATAGTGATGGACAATGTGTCGTCAATTAATATCGTCTACTACTACCAATAGTTTCAGGAGCAAATAACACCAAGCTGCAAATTCAAAACTAATGAGGGGGAGCTTTTTGAAGTTTCAAAATAACATTGCTAAACCAATATCACAACAGTCACAGAATAATGTAAATCTGTACATCATAGCATATCAGTGTAGAATAGATACCAATTTGGCAAAAATAATATTTTGAAACGTGTTGTGCCAAGCTTTGGAATTTCTGAAGGGAAATCAGAAAGATGCTAGGAATTGTAAATTATTCTTTCGCCGCTGGTACTTTTCCTTCTTGTTTAAAAAAAGGCAACGATTCTTCCACTTCACAATAAGGGTGACATTAGGTTAGTTTCGAACTATAGCATTACTGTCACTATTTTGTAAACCTTTGAAAAAGTCTTTTTTCTACTCCCGTCTGAAAAATACCTAATTACCCACCGATCTAACGTGCGGGAAGCGTCACTTTACCACGTCAGTTTAGTTTATCATGAATCCGAGCCACTTCGGACATTTCCGGGATTTTACTGCACGGATTTGGGGCAATCGGATGTTTTCGGAGACATTTCCCACGCTTTGAATTTTGAAGTTTGTCAATTCTGACGGCCATGTCAGTAAATGTATTCGTGTATTGCGAAAATGTACACAAAAACTAACGGTCGTAGAAAAAGTATAGTATGCAACACGTTCGGTAAACTTTTTAACTCACTCGTTTATTAAAAACTCGCTCCGCTGCGTTCCGCTCGTGTCAAATAAACTCGTGAGTCAAATGCCGTTTGCCGCACTTGTTGCATAATATACTATTACAAGCGTCTTTTTCGAAGTAAATAATTATTGTTGAAATATGCATTTTCGGTGGTATGCCTGTGTATTTTTTGATTTTTATGGTGCATTCGACTTAATCAATATTAATATACTTCTCGATAAATGATTTGCTTATGATGTGAGTGAAAATGCAATTGAATGGTTAATATCTTTTTTGACTGTAAAGGCAAAGCATTTCACTTAGATATTTCGATTCCCATATAACCTGGACTAATCAAATGGCCATATTTCAAGAAACTTTCTACCTATTACTACGCAGTATGGAGAATAAAAATCTGGTTTCTATGGCTTTGTTACGTTTATCTTTCTAGGTTTAAATAACAATGTTATTTATACTTAGACTTTTTTAATTCGTGAAATGGGAATATCAGCTCTTGATGGTCTTTTTATAATTCTGCCTTAATTGTTTTACGTAATCCTAATAATTCTAGTAATTAATAAATTGGCAATAGTCCGGTTGTCTTGCCGATAAAACTTTTTAATCATTTTTCTATTTTAGAGAAACAAACACATAGCGCCGTTGAATTTAAATACGGGGTAAATCCAAATTTAGTTTGTCACTCCTTTTTTCGGGTCTATTGAAATAAATTTGGTTTAATTTGATATGTCAAAAAAGCTACTGAATTCAAGAAACATGTGCTTTTTTAGATCTGGCTAAAGCCTTTGACCGTGTCAGGCTGAGAGATGTGTTAAAACTGCCGAAAAAATAAACAAGTCAAGTTAAGTTAAAAAACCAAACATTTGAACATATAGAACAGAACCTTATTCTAAAGAAATAAAAACGAGAATTGAAAAGGGTAGAACATAATTCAGTAATATGAAAAAGCTTCTTACAAGTAGCCAATTCCAAAAAAAAAAAAAAACAAGGAACAAACACTTGAGGTTCATTCAAAATATTGTATATCACAATTACTGTTCAGCATAATAACGCATATTAATGTTCAGAATTTTATAAAAATAAAAAATACGGAACAGGCACACAACGCACCTGATAAAAATTGAATATTATGCAGAAGCCGCAAAGTTAATCTCAGAGTATGCGCTTATCCACAGCTAAAACCGAAGCGTTGTTTATCTCGGGGGAACCGAAAAGATGCAATATTGTAATAAACGAAGAAATAATTGAGTACGTGTCAAAGTTTGCTTATCTTGGGTTCTAAATTTTAAGTGGTTGTACGCAAACAATTCAGCTTATACTCGCATATCAAGAGCCGATGCGGCTGTAACGACGAGGATTTGAAAGACTGCAAAAACTTTAAGATCGATAGTAGGGAAAATATTGCTCGACAGAGTACCGAATGGTCAAGGGAGTTCTGTAAAACAGAGAAGAAAGGGCTGTAACCAGCATGGGCTCCCAAAAATTAGCCCGAATAGCGAGGGATTTAAAACAAACAGATAAAACACAATATATATAGGGTGGCCAAATATATCTCGTTAATATTAAATAGTAAAATTATAGATAAGAATAAAATAAACAGTTTCAAATTATTTTAAAATATACGAGATAGGTCTTCTATACTTAAAATCATAACGTAGGGTTGTTATGGTCTATACTGAGGGTTTCAGATTTAGGGCCATTTTTTCGTCAAAAATGCCCTTATACATTTGGCGCCGTTTTTGGCAGCTGTAATTTTATTATGCCGACAATTTTATAACGTGGTACAGTACACTTGGTAACTTGATGGATATATTTAGATTTGCATGGCTAATTTTCTAGTTCAATAATATTTTAGACCTTAAGAAAGGCAGAATTTCTAAATTAATGGGAGGAAAGCAGGCATTTTTCTTACAAAATAAAAAATTTATCTATTTATTTTTCTTTTTCTTTGCTTATTGCTGTATTTTCTCATAATTTGAAAAATTTCCGCGATACTGTTCGTAACGCTGTGTATTTCTCAAAAAAAGTTTAAGTGTAGGGAATGCTTAATAAAATATTCAGTTTTTCAAAAAAATGATTGAGAATAAACGGGAATATCTTTCAAAAAACATACGTTTGGTTTGGTAAAATAATTTTAAATTATCTATAACTTTCATATTAAACGTTTTATTCTAGGACAAATAGCAAAATGAGATACGAGGTGTGTTCAAAGAGTAAATATATATGTTTACAGATTCAGCCAGTGTGCAGGTTTTTTTTGTGAGAGAAGTGGCGCTGCACTCTTGCCTTTTCTTGTAATTTTTCTTGTCGAAATTACCTGAATAAAGTATATTATTATTATTATTATTATTATAGACAGACGCGTTAGATGTGTTTTGCGTGTTTTGCGTGCTGTCAAAAAGAAATGGATCAAAGAATTTGCATAAAATTTTGTATTTATACAGTGGTGCAAAACAGTTGAAATGTTGACAACGGCATATGGTGAATCTACCTTGAGCAAAAAAAATGTTTATAAGTGGTACAAGGTGTTCCAAGATGACCGAGAAGACGAACCTCGCTCTGGACGACCCAGCATGTCAATAAGCTTTGAAGAAGTGAAACAAATGGTGTTCAAAAATAGTCCAGCACTATTAGAGAAGTGGCTGAAGACGTCTGTATCTCTATTGGTTCTGTTATGCAGTTTAATTCCAAAGTTTTCTGTATGGAACGTGTAGCAACAAAATTTGTTCCGAAACTACTTAATTTTGAACACAAGGACCGTCCAAGAAGCATCGCTCGAGAGCTGGTAAACCACGTCAATGATGATCCTGGTCACAACTGGTGACGAATCATGAGTATATCATTATGACGACAAAACCAAAGCTCAGTCGTTCCAATGGAAGAACCCAGAATCGCCAATTTGCGAGAGGCAAACATCCGAAAATGTGGGAAAAAAATTCATGCTCCCTGCGCCCTGCTCACTCATCATTGCTCGTGTCTAACTTTTAGGACAAAAACAAAACCACAATCATGCCTAATGCCTACACCAGAAAGTGCTTCGAGGATTGGATTGGACAACATTCATTTTGATGAATAAACAAATATTTTTTGATAAAACTTAAATATCACCTTACTTTTTGAACACACCTCGAATTTAAATGCCCTGTATTAGAAGAACTATATCGTTTAATATTTCTCTACACAATTTGTGAAATCGCATTGCCAGGCAATTTCTTAAGTAACCTATTTTTAAAAGTTATTTTCCAAGTATAAATAAGCAAACGCGGCTTCTAGGAGCGCCCTTAATTCGTACTTACGCGCGTTGACGACGACAAATATGGCGGCGGCGGCACAAACCCCGCGTGCTACATCCCCGAGCGCCATTTTACTTCTTCGGCATTTTTCTTTGTTCCCGGGATATTGGACTTACCGATTACCGTTAATTGCCGGGCGATAAGGGCGTTTTAAAACTGTTAACCAATTTGCTCACATTTGTCGCGAATACGCTAGTCGGCAATTAAGCGCGAAACGTCGTCCCCTTCACCTCAAGACAAGTGCGCGATTTTTTCTTTACGCGGGGAAAAAAAATTGCGCCGTTATGGTGTGACCTTAACTAAGGAGTGCATAAACGCGTGTCGGCCAATTTACTTTAACCTTAATTAATTCTAATACGCAAAATCGAACTGCGAGTAGCGTTTTATAAGAAAAATGGATAAATATTATAAATATTTTTGGCACGTGCGCGGATTTTTATCGGCAACGAAAACCGCATTTTTGTGTGACGGCAATTTCCTATAAGGCTCCGGGAAAGATGAAAGGCACCGGAGTAAACAATAACCATTAATAATTTAAAAGCGGGGCGAGACAAAAACGACAGTTCTCGCCAACCTTTTTAGAGGCCACCTAAGCGGAGACTTTCATTTGATAGATTTGAATGATTTCGATCAACTTAGAAACATCTAGCTGGATCCAACCTCAAAACTGTGTAAGGAAACATGTTATGGTTTATAAAGAGAATATCAAAACACGACTTCCTAATGGGGGACCTTTGAAATACAGTACCCAATAAATCTTAATATAGAAAGTATAGATCAACTTAGCAACTAAGGAATTCATTAACATGTTTTCGTAGGAAGCACACACAAAACAAAGGGTTGCTGAAACACATTTGATGTCGAAGAACTTTCATTGCGACCAGAAACACATATTAGCAAGAGAAACGAAAGCGCTAAGAATACCAGAATGTATTCTTTGGCGTGAAGTTCTCTAAAAAGATGGAGTCGCTAAACATACTCAAAAACTTTAATTAAGACTCGAACCAGTTACTAGCAGTAGAAGGAAGATCTCTAGGACTATCATTTCCTCACCTCGTCTCACTTCTACACTTTTGCTCTCTCAAGGAATTTTGTATGGAGCATATCCAACAGAACGGGTTAGTGAAACACCTTTGATTTGAAGATCCGACCCGAATCAGCTACTAGCAGTAGAAAGAAGGTCGCTAATAATACAATAGCAAACACCTACCTTCAGCGCGCCAACCATGAATAATGACTTTGAACGGCTCGGATGGATCGATGGGGATATCATTGCTGTCGCAGGAATAGTTGCGGTAGGCACCATCTTGCTGGTACTGCAGGATGCGTATTTTGTCGATCGAATTGGTGTCGATGAAGCCAAAAGTCTTAGCGGCGCTATAGACCCCGCTGACGGTCATGTTCAGCAGTTGGCACATGAAGTTGATGGGCGTCGGCAGGGGAGGCAGGTTGTTGAGGGAATTGGAGAACTTCGGGACCACGCTGGTTGGCGGAAACCCGCCGCACTGAGCTATAATTTAAATAATTAAATTAAATAACAAATTTAAATATTTGTTAAATGAGCCTTGAAAATTATGAAAATCCTGCGAACCACAACCAAAATTAAAATTATCGAAAGAGATGCTACGTCACCAAAGGAAAAGAAACTTCAATAAATGGGGATAAAAAGACTTCCTCGTTTTATTTTAAATAAAAAAAGAAAAACTTATCTTGGATGGAGTGTGTAGGTTTTAGAAACTGAAAACGGCATTTTCAAAAATCATCATCTTAATTTTGCGATATTATCTTTAATTTGGTAACACCGTTTAATAACATAACATATAAAATATCTAGCATAAAATGCATTAAGAAACAGAGTGATACTGTATATGAATTATGACGAAACTCCAAAAACCTGTGCATCACCAACCTTTGGGAAACTTTATTCACAATAGATGTCAAACATCACAAAATAAACAAGAGGCTGCCGAGGCTTTTTCCCAACGGCTAGTAAGTCCACATATTATTTGGGTATACAACAGAGGTAAGAAAATGCTGCTCTAAAAATCATCATCATCAAACCTGGTTTGACAATCATGACACTCAATCCACAGCATGGTCGGATTCTTTTTAACGGAGTAACAATTTTACATGCCAGATTAAAAAACCCTTTTTTTTTCAAAGTGCTTTGCAGCTTAGCTGTAAAAACATTAAGGTCTCATTCAACCCATAACCTTTTTGAGCAATGGTTCACGGTTCTCTTCTATCTATCATTCATCAGAATAGTGTTATAGTGATGGACAATGTGTCGTCAATTAATATCGTCTACTACTACCAATAGTTTCAGGAGCAAATAACACCAAGCTGCAAATTCAAAACTAATGAGGGGGAGCTTTTTGAAGTTTCAAAATAACATTGCTAAACCAATATCACAACAGTCACAGAATAATGTAAATCTGTACATCATAGCATATCAGTGTAGAATAGATACCAAGTTGGCAAAAATAATATTTTGAAACGTGTTGTGCCAAGCTTTGGAATTTCTGAAGGGAAATCAGAAAGATGCTAGGAATTGTAAATTATTCTTTCGCCGCTGGTACTTTTCCTTCTTGTTTAAAAAAAGGCAACGATTCTTCCACTTCACAATAAGGGTGACATTAGGTTAGTTTCGAACTATAGCATTACTGTCACTATTTTGTAAACCTTTGAAAAAGTCTTTTTTCTACTCCCGTCTGAAAAATACCTAATTACCCACCGATCTAACGTGCGGGAAGCGTCACTTTACCACGTCAGTTTAGTTTATCATGAATCCGAGCCACTTCGGACATTTCCGGGATTTTACTGCACGGATTTGGGGCAATCGGATGTTTTCGGAGACATTTCCCACGCTTTGAATTTTGAAGTTTGTCAATTCTGACGGCCATGTCAGTAAATGTATTCGTGTATTGCGAAAATGTACACAAAAACTAACGGTCGTAGAAAAAGTATAGTATGCAACACGTTCGGTAAACTTTTTAACTCACTCGTTTATTAAAAACTCGCTCCGCTGCGTTCCGCTCGTGTCAAATAAACTCGTGAGTCAAATGCCGTTTGCCGCACTTGTTGCATAATATACTATTACAAGCGTCTTTTTCGAAGTAAATAATTATTGTTGAAATATGCATTTTCGGTGGTATGCCTGTGTATTTTTTGATTTTTATGGTGCATTCGACTTAATCAATATTAATATACTTCTCGATAAATGATTTGCTTATGATGTGAGTGAAAATGCAATTGAATGGTTAATATCTTTTTTGACTGTAAAGGCAAAGCATTTCACTTAGATATTTCGATTCCCATATAACCTGGACTAATCAAATGGCCATATTTCAAGAAACTTTCTACCTATTACTACGCAGTATGGAGAATAAAAATCTGGTTTCTATGGCTTTGTTACGTTTATCTTTCTAGGTTTAAATAACAATGTTATTTATACTTAGACTTTTTTAATTCGTGAAATGGGAATATCAGCTCTTGATGGTCTTTTTATAATTCTGCCTTAATTGTTTTACGTAATCCTAATAATTCTAGTAATTAATAAATTGGCAATAGTCCGGTTGTCTTGCCGATAAAACTTTTTAATCATTTTTCTATTTTAGAGAAACAAACACATAGCGCCGTTGAATTTAAATACGGGGTAAATCCAAATTTAGTTTGTCACTCCTTTTTTCGGGTCTATTGAAATAAATTTGGTTTAATTTGATATGTCAAAAAAGCTACTGAATTCAAGAAACATGTGCTTTTTTAGATCTGGCTAAAGCCTTTGACCGTGTCAGGCTGAGAGATGTGTTAAAACTGCCGAAAAAATAAACAAGTCAAGTTAAGTTAAAAAACCAAACATTTGAACATATAGAACAGAACCTTATTCTAAAGAAATAAAAACGAGAATTGAAAAGGGTAGAACATAATTCAGTAATATGAAAAAGCTTCTTACAAGTAGCCAATTCCAAAAAAAAAAAAAAACAAGGAACAAACACTTGAGGTTCATTCAAAATATTGTATATCACAATTACTGTTCAGCATAATAACGCATATTAATGTTCAGAATTTTATAAAAATAAAAAATACGGAACAGGCACACAACGCACCTGATAAAAATTGAATATTATGCAGAAGCCGCAAAGTTAATCTCAGAGTATGCGCTTATCCACAGCTAAAACCGAAGCGTTGTTTATCTCGGGGGAACCGAAAAGATGCAATATTGTAATAAACGAAGAAATAATTGAGTACGTGTCAAAGTTTGCTTATCTTGGGTTCTAAATTTTAAGTGGTTGTACGCAAACAATTCAGCTTATACTCGCATATCAAGAGCCGATGCGGCTGTAACGACGAGGATTTGAAAGACTGCAAAAACTTTAAGATCGATAGTAGGGAAAATATTGCTCGACAGAGTACCGAATGGTCAAGGGAGTTCTGTAAAACAGAGAAGAAAGGGCTGTAACCAGCATGGGCTCCCAAAAATTAGCCCGAATAGCGAGGGATTTAAAACAAACAGATAAAACACAATATATATAGGGTGGCCAAATATATCTCGTTAATATTAAATAGTAAAATTATAGATAAGAATAAAATAAACAGTTTCAAATTATTTTAAAATATACGAGATAGGTCTTCTATACTTAAAATCATAACGTAGGGTTGTTATGGTCTATACTGAGGGTTTCAGATTTAGGGCCATTTTTTCGTCAAAAATGCCCTTATACATTTGGCGCCGTTTTTGGCAGCTGTAATTTTATTATGCCGACAATTTTATAACGTGGTACAGTACACTTGGTAACTTGATGGATATATTTAGATTTGCATGGCTAATTTTCTAGTTCAATAATATTTTAGACCTTAAGAAAGGCAGAATTTCTAAATTAATGGGAGGAAAGCAGGCATTTTTCTTACAAAATAAAAAATTTATCTATTTATTTTTCTTTTTCTTTGCTTATTGCTGTATTTTCTCATAATTTGAAAAATTTCCGCGATACTGTTCGTAACGCTGTGTATTTCTCAAAAAAAGTTTAAGTGTAGGGAATGCTTAATAAAATATTCAGTTTTTCAAAAAAATGATTGAGAATAAACGGGAATATCTTTCAAAAAACATACGTTTGGTTTGGTAAAATAATTTTAAATTATCTATAACTTTCATATTAAACGTTTTATTCTAGGACAAATAGCAAAATGAGATACGAGGTGTGTTCAAAGAGTAAATATATATGTTTACAGATTCAGCCAGTGTGCAGGTTTTTTTTGTGAGAGAAGTGGCGCTGCACTCTTGCCTTTTCTTGTAATTTTTCTTGTCGAAATTACCTGAATAAAGTATATTATTATTATTATTATTATTATAGACAGACGCGTTAGATGTGTTTTGCGTGTTTTGCGTGCTGTCAAAAAGAAATGGATCAAAGAATTTGCATAAAATTTTGTATTTATACAGTGGTGCAAAACAGTTGAAATGTTGACAACGGCATATGGTGAATCTACCTTGAGCAAAAAAAATGTTTATAAGTGGTACAAGGTGTTCCAAGATGACCGAGAAGACGAACCTCGCTCTGGACGACCCAGCATGTCAATAAGCTTTGAAGAAGTGAAACAAATGGTGTTCAAAAATAGTCCAGCACTATTAGAGAAGTGGCTGAAGACGTCTGTATCTCTATTGGTTCTGTTATGCAGTTTAATTCCAAAGTTTTCTGTATGGAACGTGTAGCAACAAAATTTGTTCCGAAACTACTTAATTTTGAACACAAGGACCGTCCAAGAAGCATCGCTCGAGAGCTGGTAAACCACGTCAATGATGATCCTGGTCACAACTGGTGACGAATCATGAGTATATCATTATGACGACAAAACCAAAGCTCAGTCGTTCCAATGGAAGAACCCAGAATCGCCAATTTGCGAGAGGCAAACATCCGAAAATGTGGGAAAAAAATTCATGCTCCCTGCGCCCTGCTCACTCATCATTGCTCGTGTCTAACTTTTAGGACAAAAACAAAACCACAATCATGCCTAATGCCTACACCAGAAAGTGCTTCGAGGATTGGATTGGACAACATTCATTTTGATGAATAAACAAATATTTTTTGATAAAACTTAAATATCACCTTACTTTTTGAACACACCTCGAATTTAAATGCCCTGTATTAGAAGAACTATATCGTTTAATATTTCTCTACACAATTTGTGAAATCGCATTGCCAGGCAATTTCTTAAGTAACCTATTTTTAAAAGTTATTTTCCAAGTATAAATAAGCAAACGCGGCTTCTAGGAGCGCCCTTAATTCGTACTTACGCGCGTTGACGACGACAAATATGGCGGCGGCGGCACAAACCCCGCGTGCTACATCCCCGAGCGCCATTTTACTTCTTCGGCATTTTTCTTTGTTCCCGGGATATTGGACTTACCGATTACCGTTAATTGCCGGGCGATAAGGGCGTTTTAAAACTGTTAACCAATTTGCTCACATTTGTCGCGAATACGCTAGTCGGCAATTAAGCGCGAAACGTCGTCCCCTTCACCTCAAGACAAGTGCGCGATTTTTTCTTTACGCGGGGAAAAAAAATTGCGCCGTTATGGTGTGACCTTAACTAAGGAGTGCATAAACGCGTGTCGGCCAATTTACTTTAACCTTAATTAATTCTAATACGCAAAATCGAACTGCGAGTAGCGTTTTATAAGAAAAATGGATAAATATTATAAATATTTTTGGCACGTGCGCGGATTTTTATCGGCAACGAAAACCGCATTTTTGTGTGACGGCAATTTCCTATAAGGCTCCGGGAAAGATGAAAGGCACCGGAGTAAACAATAACCATTAATAATTTAAAAGCGGGGCGAGACAAAAACGACAGTTCTCGCCAACCTTTTTAGAGGCCACCTAAGCGGAGACTTTCATTTGATAGATTTGAATGATTTCGATCAACTTAGAAACATCTAGCTGGATCCAACCTCAAAACTGTGTAAGGAAACATGTTATGGTTTATAAAGAGAATATCAAAACACGACTTCCTAATGGGGGACCTTTGAAATACAGTACCACCTCAATAATCCGGATCTGCATTAAATCCGATTATTCGCATCGGGGTTTCAATTTGGTTGTGTACTACAAGCAGGCTTTGATAGTGCTCGATAATCCGAATCTGCGTTTTTAAAAGTCTACTTTATTCAAACTCCATGTTATACATATATACATATACATATATACAACTGAAAGTGGATTCCCCTTACTTCCTAAATTTAACTTTCCATTTCAAAATCTGCGTTTTTAAAAGTTTATTTTATTCAAACTCTGTGTTATACATATAGGAAAACTGAAATTTATAGCGAGGGATTCCCCTAACTTCCTAAACTTTACTTCCTTTCCATTCTAAAATCTACTTTTTTAAACGTTGACTTTATTCAAATCCTGTGTTATACATATAGGAAAACTGAAATTGATAGCGGGGGATTCCCCTAACTTCCTAAATTTTGCTTCCTTTCCTTCCTAAAATCTACGTTTTTAAACGTCTACTTTATTCAAACTGCGTTTTATACATATAGGAAAAATAAAATTGATAGCTAACTTCCTAAATTTTATTTCCTTTCCTTCCTAAAATCTGTGTTTTTAAATATCTGCCGTATTCAAACTCCGTGTTATACATTTAGGAAAACTGAAATTGATAGCAGGGGATTCCCCCAACTTCCTAAGTTTTACTTCCTTTCCTTCCTAAAATCTGCGTTTTTTAACGTCTACTTTATTTAAACTCCGTGTTATACATAAAATTGATTGCGGGGGATTCCCCTAACTTCCGAAATTTTCCTTCCTTTCCTTCCTAAAATCTACGTTTTTAAACGTCTACTTTATTCAAACTGCGTTTTATACATATAGGAAAAATAAAATTGATAGCTAACTTCCTAAATTTTATTTCCTTTCCTTCCTAAAATCTGTGTTTTTAAATATCTGCCGTATTCAAACTCCGTGTTATACATTTAGGAAAACTGAAATTGATAGCAGGGGATTCCCCCAACTTCCTAAGTTTTACTTCCTTTCCTTCCTAAAATCTGCGTTTTTTAACGTCTACTTTATTTAAACTCCGTGTTATACATAAAATTGATTGCGGGGGATTCCCCTTACTTCCGAAATTTTCCTTCCTTTCCTTCCTAAAATCTACGTTTTTAAACGTCTACTTTATTCAAACTCCGTTTCATACATATAGGAAAACTAAAATTGATCGCTAACTTCCTAAATTTTATTTCCTTTCCTTCCTAAAATCTGTGTTTTTAAATATCTGCCGTATTCAAACTCCGTGTTATACATTTAGGAAAACTGAAATTGATAGCAGGGGATTCCCCCAACTTCTCAAGTTTTACTTCCTTTCCTTCCTAAAATCTGCGTTTTTTAACGTCTACTTTATTTAAACTCCGTGTTATACATAAAATTGATTGTGGGGGATTCCCCTAACTTCCGAAATTTTCCTTCCTTTCCTTCCTAAAATCTACGTTTTTAAACGTCTACTTTATTCAAACTCCGTTTCATACATATAGGAAAACTAAAATTGATCGCTAACTTCCTAAATTTTATTTCCTTTCCTTCCTAAAATCTGTGTTTTTAAATATCTGCCGTATTCAAACTCCGTGTTATACATTTAGGAAAACTGAAATTGATAGCAGGGGATTCCCCCAACTTCTCAAGTTTTACTTCCTTTCCTTCCTAAAATCTGCGTTTTTTAACGTCTACTTTATTTAAACTCCGTGTTATACATAAAATTGATTGTGGGGGATTCCCCTAACTTCCGAAATTTTCCTTCCTTTCCTTCCTAAAATATACGTTTTTAAACGTCTACTTTATTGAAACTCGGTGTTGTACATATAGGAAAACTGAAATTGATAGCAGGGGATTCCTCTAATTTCCATAATTTTACTTCCCTGCCTTAATAAAGTTTTAAACGTTTGCTTTATTCATATTCATATATGTTATACATATAGGAAAACTAATATTGATAGCTAACTTCCTAAATTTTACTTCCTTTCTTTCCTAAAATCTGTGTCTTTAAACATCTGTTTTATTCAAACGCCCTGTTAGGAAAACTGAAGTTGATAGCACGGGATTCCCGTAATTTCCTAAATTTCTAAAATTTCTCAATTTTAAAAATCTATTTTGGGTCTAGCTTTAGGAAAAAACAGCTGCGACTATTCAAAAAAGCGGTAAAAATTCCACAGAATTACCGAACAACTTAAGAAAAGATAGTCCAGAATTTTAAATTAAAAAAAAAGGATCAGCTTAAAGAACAAGTCATTACTTTAGACTCCTCTAATTTTAAGAAAGGGTGAAATTTTCACTGCTCTTTTAAATGGAAGTAGCCAATTTTCTCCAAAGCTAGATACACAAAAAAATATTTGGCTTTTTTTTCAAACATGACAAAAGGACACTAGAAAGAAATGTAATCATGTTTTTAAATTTGACATTGGTTTTTGAATATTTTGTTAAAGCAAATTATTAACAGCAAAAATATTTGGTGGGCATGACTTTTGGCGGAGAGGAAGTTTGGGATGTTCCAGCTACATAACTACATACGTTTTCCATTCTTTCAGTTATATCCTTTCCCATTTGATTTTTATCAGTCTTTCTCTTTCGATTTTTTTTGCCAATTAGTACCCCCTTCTGTCACGATTTCCTTCCGAATATCCAAGAACACCAACTTCCACTTAAAATAAATTTTTTTCGTCTCCATTTTGCAAAAACGAACGTGTAAAAACCATTTTTGAATAAGCGATACAGTAAAATTTATTTAAATAATTGATAACAACCTTTAGAAACAATGAAAGGAGTCAAAATTTGTTTATAACAAATGAAGTTGTGGAAATTGGTGTTATTATTATTGCTTCTTCCGCTGAAATAAAATAATGTAAGGAAAATGGAGACTTAGTTCGCAACCACTCATAGCCATCTAGTTTCAAAAAGAAATTTGCTGCAAATTCGCCAATTCTTAATTTTAGGCTAATATTACATGATCCTTTTTTTGAATCTATCCCCGTTGACCGATTTTTTCTATCACGTCTACATTTTTCGATGTGATTTTTTTTTTTATATTTCAAAATTTTGTTTTTTTTTTCAATTTTTTCATTCGTCAACATTACAAAAAGTAAATATACATACAAAATGAGTTTCAGAGAGTTGTAAGAAAAAGGAGGGAAGTGCCGAAGGTGATTTTTATGGTAGTAAATAAATAATAAAATAGAAGATTGAAAGTTGTTTTAAAATTAATTTTATGTGATTTTAGGTTACAAAATGCCACGGACTTGTAAAAATTCCTCAGATTGTTTTTGCTACATTTGTGGGGAACATATACTAAAAACACAGCGTCATGACCGATCTGGTTAACACAGCTTATAAGCTATATTTTGGATTTTCTATCGATGAGCGAGATAAAAGTTGGTTGCCAAAAGTATGCTGCAATAGCTGCTCAACGTTGAAAGGTTGGCTTGAAGAAAGTCACAAATCCATGCCGTTTTCAATGCCAATGATTTGGAGTGAGTCTCAAAATCATGAGAATGATTGTTGTTTCTGCAGGACATCTATACGAGGATTCTCGAAAAAAAATTGAGATAAGATTCTTTATCCGAACGTCCTATCTGCAAAGAGACCAATTCCTCGTGATAAAGACACTCCACCTCCAGTTCCACCAGTTAATGAGGAGGCTGAAAATAAAAATATTTCAGGTCTACAATGTCAATCGAGTTTTGTTAATATAATTTAGGATTTTTTACTGTAAAACTCAAGCCGCCACATTTTTTTATTTCCTTATAATAATTTATACTTTAATAATATTGTTTTTTGATGAAATAAATATTAAATTAAAAACCTACGTGTGGTACTTATTTGTATATCAGATTCCTTGTTTAGAGCATAAAATAAGATAAATTCATGCATGAAAACAAGAAGGAGAGAAATTTTTTTTTTTGCAGACCAGTGTGATTTACAAATGTTAGACTGAAAATATACGAGGTGTTCCATTTAAACCGAGTACACTTTGTTCATCGTTTCGAAACCCCACGTTCATTTGTTTTTCTGTTTTCACCTTATTTAGCTTGGGTGTTGGTCGACTAATCAGGCTTGTATTCCATGTAACTTTCCTTAATATTATAAAATCAATTTTTTCAACCTAACCATCAGTGTCCAAACAATAAAAGATGGAAGATACCGTGATGTTTTTCGCCTTTAACAACCATTGATACGGCAGAGACGAAAAAAAGCTGAAACGAAACAAATGGTGTTGGAAATTTGGCGTGCTAGGTTGGTCGATCTACGCTCTACGAAAACAAAGACCTTATTTACCGGCAGTAGTCGGTCGGCCGCCCGATACCGGATTTATCCATTAATCATTTTTTTTCTCTCCCATTGAAAAAACGCCGCCGAAATTCATGAATAAATTTTCGCCAAACAAAACGATGTTCGGGGAGAATTCTTAGAAAGGGCCGTATAAATCTTAAACGTCCCGGTCTGTGTATAAACATTAATTATTCCTCGAACGGGGTTGTAGGAATACAATGGGTTTTCTGGGCGAATGCAGGCGTTTGTTATTTGATTTGTGCGTAATTGCTTCGGATAAGGCGCCGAAATACCCGAAAAATTTCAAATTTTTCCACCCTAAAAGATCGGATTATTAAAATCGGATTTT